AATATCAACGTGTATAAGTGTTACAAGATAATTTATTCAACAAATGTAATAATGATACAGTATACAAAGTACAGATGTACATATATAATCCGCGAAACATTATTAATATCAATGCCATTATAAATATATTGAAATATATCACTACAATATAATATACATGTGGTATGTTACATGCACTACCACTTTGGATTTTTTAACGATTTAGTTTTAAGGACTTATACTAGGAGGAGAGTGATGTAGAATAGGAAGGAATAGGAGATTTGAAAAGTGTATAAGTGTTACAAGATAATTTATTCGACAAATGCAATAATGATACAGTATACAAAGTACAGATATACATACAGACATACGAAGTACATAGTATACAAAGTGCAGTAATGCATACAGACATACACATTGCAATAATGATACAGTATACGTATACAGTATATGGCTTGCGAAAGATTAACAATAACAGTACCATTACAGATATAATACATATATCACTACAATATAATATACGTGTGGTATGTTACATGCGCCACCACTTAAATTTCTCTTTTTCCAAAAGACATTTTAAGAACTTAATTTTTAAGGATATATTAGGAGGAGAGTGATGGAGATATAGGAAGGAATAGGAGATTCGAAAAGTGTATAAGTGTTACAAGGTAATTTATTGGACAAATGCAATAATGATACAGTATACGAAGTAGAAATGTACATATTGTATAGTCGGCGAAAGATTAGTAATATCAATGCCATTAGAAAAATGTTACAATATATCACTACAATACAATAAACGTGTGGTATTTTACATGCGCTTTGGATGTTTCTTTCTCCAAAAGACATTTTAAAAACTTAGTTTTTGAGGATATATTAGAAGGAGAGTGATGGAGAATAGGAAGGAATAGGAGATTCGAAAAGTGTATAAGTGTTACAAGGTAATTTATTGGACAAATGCAATAATGATACAGTATACGAAGTAGAAATGTACATATTGTATAGTCGGCGAAAGATTAGTAATATCAATGCCATTAGAAAAATGTTACAATATATCACTACAATACAATAAACGTGTGGTATTTTACATGCGCTTTGGATGTTTCTTTCTCCAAAAGACATTTTAAAAACTTAGTTTTTGAGGATATATTAGAAGGCAAAGAAGAAGAAGAAGGTTGTAAATGGATATAGAAATAAAGAAGGAAGAAAGTATAGAAGAAATAAATATAGAAGGAGAAGAAGGTTGGAAAGGTATAAGAGGAGTGATTCCAAGAGACCAGTATAGGAGACCGGCTCGAGGAAGAATGAGCGCTGCGAGTCCGGGCACTGGCTCGAGCGGTCCCCCCCACCATCCGCCTGCTCCGGCTCACTGAGTTCTGCGCGACGAATATGCGCGCACAATATTTTGGGCAACTTTCAGTAATAATAAATATTCTTGGCCAGAATTTCGTATCTCGAAGTGTTAATATTTTACTTTATTGATTTCATTACTTTAATGTTCCAAACACCTAATTTATTAATATTTCAATTTGAACGTAATTTATTTTCAAAATTCTCCAATTTCAATTCAATTTATATGTACTCCGTATATTCTGCGAGATTTTGATTTAATCTCAATTTTGTATTTTGAATAAATTTTGAAAGTAAATCAAGATCCAATAATATTTAGTAAAAATTGAGATGCTACGCAGTTGTCAAGTTGGCACCGCACTTTCTTAAAAATGTCTTAAAAAGTTTTCAACGATAGGCTTTTTCAATAGTTATTGAGAAGTTTTGTAGTTCCCGATCTCGTTCTAAGTGTTGCTTTGAGAACTAGCGGTGAATAGCGGAGAACCTTTGCCCGTCAATCTACGCGTTTATGTTTACGTTTAGCTCGGCTACGACGGGATTCAGATTGTCGACGAAGGCGATGATCACAAAATGCTACTCGCAACTACGATTTAGCGCCATGATTTTGGTATCGCCTAAAACGGTAGCGTTGTGCATCTTCCTTACTCGTCTCTGTTAATTTTTGCTGTAACTTGTGACTTATTCCACATCGGGTTTTTAGATCGCAGAAAGTTTTCCGTTCGCCAATAAGAATGGAGGCAATTGGAGGATCCGCTCCAACAAGTTGTCACTATCTCTGAGTTATTACGTTTACACGACAGTCTTAAACCATAGATATAGAAATATCAATCAGAAGTAGGGATAATGTACCTCGACCCCCCCTGTAAACGGTTTCCCCCCCAGGGTTATGCTCCATCCCGGTATTTCTATATCTATGTCTTAAACTGGTTTCATTAATACTGGTCTAAAGGAATTGAGCAATCCCAAATATGCTTTACAAGTAGAACCGGTTTACGATCGGCGTGTAAACGTAGTTACTGGTCAGGGTGGGTTTGAAGCGTCATGAAGCGACTAAGTTGGGACAACGCCATAGCTATTCGATAGCTCTGACGGAAAGTCTGGAGACTAGCCAATAACGGATGTTTCGTATTTTATTGTAATCTTCAATGTAACCTATTCTTACGTAACAGAATTCTTGTAGAACTTGTATCAAATAAAAATTCATCAGGAAATAAGTTTATTCTAATGTTGTATGACGGCTGATCCTTGCAAACCGCTGGCCTGCAAACTGCAGAAGTGTCTTCAAGGTAATTGCTTCATTTAGTATTGTATACATGTTAAGTAAACAATTGAGTTTGTTGGATAATACTGTTCGTACATAGAATACCCTAGAAAATTAACTTCGCCAAAAAATCTTTTTTTTTAGACAACGTTTATCAGCCATCCCGCTGTGAGAGCGTTATCGAAGAAATTCGGCAGTGTTGCATTAAGAATTCCTCTAGGTCTCTTGTTTGTGACGGTATAGATACAACTAAACCATATCAACATAACACTATTGATCCAGTGAGTTACTGTTCCGTATGAATAAACTAAATTGGAATTGAAATACATGAAAATATTTGTAAATTACATTGACAATATGTAGTAATGCAAGTAACCAATCTTGTGTTAAAGGCGACTGCGATTAAATAATCATGACATCCAGGGATATCCTCAAGAATCAGAGCATCATGCAACGTTATCCACGTGTTGGCACATTCTGCCTCCTATCTGGAATTGTAACCCTCTTGTATGCTCGGAACTTATATAACATCTTTTTAACTGACAAATACGACAAAGTGCCTGATACTGTACCACATCACATGCGGTAAATAGAATAATATAAGCTTAGAATTATGGATGCTGTTAATAGTGCCAGGGCACGACTTAGAAAGTATCCAGTTCTAGTTGCGCAGTGTCGCAAAACAGGCACAGCATATGCAAGGTGTGTTATAAAATCAAGTAATATCAAGAAGGATGATTGCAAATCTGAGTTTGAGAATTTCAAGAATTGTTTAGTAAATGCTGCAATGAAGAACAAAACAAGATTGTAATGTTCATTATTGAAGCATCCATAAATTTAAAAGTACGGTGTAGTATGGTAATGTAATACATGAAAATTTCTGTAGTGAACTCGTCTAATTCATTTCATAACGTTGCTCTGTAAGTACAGTTACCAGAGTCTAAATATTACCAAAAGAATAATGAGTCTTACCTTTGCAAGACATTGTATTGTCGCTTTGACAGTAAGAGTCATCCTTATTGTTTATGCAAATTTTCACGACAACAATTTCGACGTACCGTATACAGATGTCGACTATAAAGTTTTTACGGATGCAGCTCGCCATATAATACAGAGAGAGTCCCCGTTTGAGCGTCATACGTATCGTTATACACCATTATTGGCTCTATTACTTACGCCAAATATTTTGTTGCATTTAGATTTTGGTAAATTAATATTTTCTCTGGTAGACATATTAGTCTCTCTTCTAATTAAAAGGATCCTCATCAAGCAGTACTGCACCAGAAGTACTGCTGAGTTCTGTGCCCTTTTATGGCTTTACAATCCCTTGACAATTGTAATATCAACAAGAGGGAATGCAGACTCACTCGCTGTGCTTCTGGTATTATTGACATTGTCAATGTTGCAGAATGACAATTCACTGCTCACCGGTGTACTACATGGCTTGTCTATTCACTTCAGACTTTATCCTATTGCTTTCAGTTTGGCAATGTATCTTTCACTACATACTAAAAACCAATTGATTGCCCTTCCCAATGTAAAACAAGTGAAATTGATTCTAGGCTGTATTTTATCTTTATCACTGCTTACGGCTAGCTGCTATTACTTCTATGGTTATAAATTCCTTTATGAGAGTTTGATTTATCATCTGATACGGAAGGATGCCAGACACAATTTTTCTGTCTATTTTTATATGCAGTATTTGACAGCGTTGCAAGTATCAGGAATTCTACAGAAAATTCTTACTTTTTTGCCGCAATTAGTTCTACTGGTTATACTGTCTGTTCGTTACTCAACCAAATTCAGTTTACCCTTTGCAATGTTCACTCAAGCACTGGTAATGGTGACATACAATCCAGTCATGACCTCGCAATATTTTTTTTGGTTTTTGTCTCTGCTTCCAATATGCCTGACAAATTTATGTTTGAGTAAATGCAGATCCATTTTTTTACTTGGGATCTGGTTGATTGCTCAGGGGCTCTGGTTGTTTGCTGCTTACCTATTGGAATTTAAGGGTCTAAATTCTTTTTTATACATATGGATAGCTGGTCTATTGTTCTTCATGGCAAACGTTAAAATACTGCTAGATATTATTGTTGGTTATAGGGATATACCTCAAATTTAATGAGATTTTGCGTATAAGTTCAGTTACTGTAATTTTATCTTTTTTCGTTTCAACATATATGTACATCTTTATTCTTTAATATATGGTAGAACTGTTATTTTGTATTATATAATTCTACTATGGGAGTTTGTGAGTTACAATAGGATTAGTGAATAAAAAATTATTATTAACCATTGTCAGAGCGTAGCGTACGTTGTTTATTTAAAAAAATTAGTTTATATTCGGATTTTCTATTCCATGAACTAGCAACTCGACTGTATAATCACTAACTAGACGTTGATAATAACTGTCCAAATTCATCTGATACGACATGGTGAACGATTCAGTGTTATTTTATTTAACTCATGTATAATTGTAAAATCGAAAAATAATATTTACATATATGGCTACAATTGGATATTTTCTCTCAAGGTAAATAAAGGTAAAGAAAGGCAAAGGGAAAAGTAAATTTTAAAGAAAATAGCTGTAAAGTTATAAAAAACTATTACAGCATTCTCTCTCTCTCTCTCTCTCTCTCTCTCTCTCTCTCTCTCTTACTCATACACACAACACGCGCCACACGCGCGTGAGTTCTCCAATTCTCATATCCTCAGTGTATGTACAAGGACACGTGAAACGTGAACTCTTAATGATTTCTCTTATGTTTATTTTGCAGGAATACAAAATATGTATTTACAGATAGTTTCACAAAGTAACAGTGGTAAATTCTTAAAAGGAATGTAGATAGTTTAGGTAGTGTCAATTAATTAATCGATAGATCGTGTACAATTAATTAATCGATAATAATAATCAGTAAGTCTTATTAATTCGAATAATTACATATGAACCGTGATCAAGAGCGCTCCTCTTGGATCCCGATCGGAATTTCACCAAAAATCCGTCATACCGTCAATATTTCTAGTAGGCTACTAGTACTGTTATCAATTTCATCCCGCATTCGTCATTGAACTCTGTGTTTTGTGCATTATTTAATTAAAAATCGACATTTTTTGACTTAAAAATGCCTCAACAACCTTTTTTACTTTCTCTTTGCGTTCTTTTTCTTCTTCAGTAACTTTCTCGTTATCCTCGATGTATCAAGGTTTTACGTTTATGCACTTAGTTTTCAATAATTACAGTTAGGCCCTTCGATTCCCAGTGGTCACGTAATGCACTTATCCTTTTTAATGGCCAGAGAGGCCAGAGACGTCAAGTAAATAATAGAACAAAATGATGAAGGAATAATAAGAGGGATGATGAAAATATTTTTTTGTTACTTCGGAAAAAAATACATTTCAAAGGATACGCTGCTTGTATGTCTACGTATGTCGACATATAAGCAGTGTCGCGATGCGTATCGTCTCTGGCTTGCGGTATCGAATGGAGGCTGACTGCATTATTTTTATTATTCTTTCTTTTTCTTTCTGCCTTACGCTTGAGAGATTTGTGCGAAAATTATTTATATACAAGGATAAGTAACTTTTATGAAGGAACAATAATTGTAACTTGTATCGCCCCTTTCTCTTCTTTCCTTTTTTGTATCTCAACTGTGCAACATGAACAATATTTCATTAAAATATTCAGGGTGAAAACTTGCGCTTCGGAGGTGAGCGCAAAACCATGCAGTGAATAGTGAATGCATCTTATGCATTCACTATGTAATGGGTTTATGACTTGAGAAGAAGAATCGCGCTAATGTAGATTTTGGAAATTATGGAGTAAGAAGAGTACGAAACGATGCATAAAAAGAAGAACGTAACGTAAGAACATAAAAAACTTACACGTCAATATGGAGTATGGCATGATTTAATCAAATAATAACAGTTGCTTGTTTTTCGATACATCATTGTTATGTATATTTAATCGAAACGCCGTACGAGGATTTTCGTGTCAATGAAAATCGCAATCGCTCTCGTGGACGTTTAATAAAAGAAATTATTCGCATAAAAGTAAACTATAAATAACTATGATAAATAAACAATTAAAAAAGGGTGGGGATGGACCAAGGAAGGCAACGAGATTAACAAATATATAGTACAGGTTTCTCGTGACACGTGAATATATGGTTTTCATTCGAACGTTATATCTTCAACTGAGGATTTACATGTGTTCTCGACTAATCCAGTATTTTAAATGTTAAACTAAACGAAATCTATGATTAAAGTAATCATTGTACCTACGCGGTAGTAAACTCGAAATATACACAACGTAAAATAAAAGTGTCTTTGGTAACAAACAATATATATGTATATATGTATTTATACATGGGAAAATTTTATTCGTTTCCGCTCGAGTCTTCGTTCTCAAGAATACATTGAGAACAGTAACCGTGTGCATAGAAATACACGTATAAATCGTGATTGTTGCATCTGTTGCTTACGTTATCTTTGCTCTGCTGCCTTTCTTTTCTTTTGGTATCTTTAATATTGCTTGTAATCAGTGGAGATGAAAAGGAAGAAACGAAGAAACAAAATACGAATGAGGAAGATCGTAACGACTCGGTATTGGAGATTTTGTAAGGCGGATGCCGATCTGGACGATAATAAATGCCAGTATGAAGAAGAAGATTATAGGAACAAGAATAATAGTAAAAGTTAATGAAAAAATAGAAAAATGAAAAACAGAAAATTAAGAGCGACCACGGGGTTCAGGGAAACGCTGGAGTGATTGGCACACTGTCGGTTCTAAGCAGATCACGAGGAGTCTGCTGATTCGCGTCCGCGTTCGAAGCGCCCATTCAGGCTCCTCCCAATCTCTTCCAAAATCTCTTGTCCGAAGGTCTTAGCATTCTGACGCATATGAAAATTATGGTTCTTCTATTAAAGTTTCTCGCTAGATGAACGAGACTCGAGTAACGAAAGGGCAATGCGCAATAAAGCACAAGGCAAATGCATCTCGAAGATAGGAGGAGCGAGAGCAGAACGGGAGGAGTTACGAATATTATTTTTCATCACCATCATCATCATCATCATCATCATCATCATCATCAAAGTCATCTCCATCTTATCTTTCCTCTGTCTTTCCATAGAGGAAACTCATAAATTATCATTAAAGAATTGACATAGTTCATATTAGAATGGAGTGGGGAGATTCTTTTCTATCCTTTTTCTTTCATTCAGAGAATCTTCCCTTTTCTTTCTTTCTTTCTCAATATTTCTCTAAAGTTCTTTTCTTATCATTAGTATCATGACTTTCACTTACTTTCGCTCTCTCTCTCTCTCTCTCTTTCTCTCTCTATCTTATATTCACTCATTCATATCGAATCATTCAATACACACCTACAGTATCCATAAATCCATTTGTGCATCGAAACTTAACGCGTTATTACGCTAAAGCGCAAGTTGCTTTTTGCCTTTTGTTTTTCGTTTTCATAAATCATTCGTCCTGTTACAAGGAATCCGTTTGCCGGCAACTTCTTTTTGCTATTTTCCAATTAATATCAATTTTTTAAATTCTTGTCGCAAGCATTCCGTGCTCGTGTGTGAGTGTGCGCGAGAGAGATTTTTTTCGTTTTTCAAATAGTTTATCGTCAATTACAATCGAATGGATTCAATCAGTCAATCTCGTATATACAATGCAAATTAAAGATTTGTCATCGATGTTATATTACAAAAAGATAATGGCCCAAGCCCTCTGGACTCCATCTTTTTAACAGAAAAATGCATGATTCTCTAAAGTTCGTCCTTTTTCAATTTTCTTATTTCTTAAATATTTTTCTATAGTATTTATCTATAATACGTTCCTACTGATTCTCACGTATCTCACAATCAGTTCATCTCCAATACTGCTCACTGGACTACAGATCGCAATTATTCTTTGACATACAGGAAATTCAAAATGATCCATCATTGGCGAACAAAAATCACGGAGTTTAGTAAAAGCGGACAGAAAGAATAACAGAGAATTTTCGTAAATTTAACTTTGTTTCCAGTAAAACATGTATCTGTTGTTGTAGATATTAAAATTCGCGACTCGAGTGAAGGAACATTTTGATTCTCTGCGTTATTAAGATGAGCGCCGTATACTCTTAAAACGGATACTTTCAGCAGGTATCTTTTTTCTTTTCCTATCATTTTAACTGCGGCGACAGATCCCATCGAGATTGCGATTGATTTGATGGCGATTTGCAATTTTCGCGAAATTTCTTTCACGCTCTGCCCGCTTTGCGTTTCGGCGAAGAGCGATTCACGCTCGATCGAAGGACCTGTGTATCGTTTATTAGTCGATTTATCATATCATTATTATTATTATTATTATTCAAGTGAGAGAGCCCGCAATTCGCAAATACGCCATTTAAATAGTTTGATTTAGCCAGCCAGTTTTCCAGTCTTAATTCTTTCGCAAATTCTCAACTCAATAAGCAGCAGAAGCTCCTATGCGCGCAAATAATGCAGCCCGTTCCAAAGAATCTGCAACACTGAGGCGAAATTCAAAAAGCGCGCTCTCAAGGCGAAACAGAATTGAGCGCCTAAAACGATAGAGAGAACGAAAAGAAGACAAAGGAAAAACCAAAAAAGAAAAGAGTATTTCATCACTGGCGTTAGGTTAATATGTTACAATTTATGTACAGAGGGGACATGCAGTACGATTTACATGACTTTTCAGAATAAACTGTTCATTTTTTGAGATTTGGAAAACTGTATGCGTCTCTGTTTCTCAGTGACAAAATCAATTTTGTAAATCAACTTTGTTCATTCCGAAAGATCCTGTAGTATCGAATACAAGTGAGCGCCCCACGCGAATCGCGACGAAACAAACTCTTACATACGAACTCCTTGTCTCTACAATTTTCACTATACACATAGATAATCATACTTATCGGGATCGTCTCCATTTTTATAGATTCGTCTTAAGTTTTATTACTTATCACTCGTTATTCTTATCATTATCATTACCCATCTGTATATCACACACGCATTCGTTTTCACTTTTCCATAATCGCACACGCACACGCACACGCACACGCACACGCACACGCACATTACTCTCATCTGCATGTATAAATTATACGACGATTCAATAATTGCAACGTTTCAATTAAATTCCATTCTTAGGAGGATTTCACCCTATATGTTTGAGAAAAAGCTTAACATCGAGAAAAATATCGGATATATTATCTCCTAGGTCGTGTCAGTCAAATTTGAAATAGATTATATTCAAGTATCAATATATCATACTAGTACGCAAAAGTGCAATCACGCCCCGTTTCACATTAAAAAAAGTCACTTTGCGTCATCGTGACGACAATTAATTATTTACTTACTTAATTATTTATTACATGTCGTCCAACTCGTGCCGTATACGTGGATCTCGCGAAGAACTATGCGCACGCAGGCATCGTACGTCCGAGTTTTCACATTTTGCACATGCAAGTCACGTGACAAGTGCGAGACGAGTCGGCGGAGAAACTTTGTTAAATTTAAAGGAAATCTTTGAGGAAAATTTTAAAGCTAAGGAATCGCGGGAATAGAGATAAAAAAAAATGGCAAAGAAGATGACATAGAGAGAAGGGAGGGGAGACAAGGAAAGAGAGAGCGTGAGACGGAGACAGTAAGACAAAACATGTAAGGGCGAAAAATGGCCAATCGAAAGACAATTGTTTTCAAACGATCAAACTGCCATCATAATAAAAGGTCGACGATCAAAATAAATGTATAACATTCTTAATCGACCTAGCAACAATTAAAATGAGATTACTCATTTTCATACACTGCGCCAATATTCAATTTGACCACGCCCCTTTTCGAGAAAAAGGAAACAAAGCGTCCCGTTTCCCGATAATAAAAATCAACAGAAAAGTGACGACGAGAGAAAAGGGATCGAAAACGTTCCTACGGAGCGTCAGTTTAGCCCTCGATTCGTGCGTTTCTTTCTTTCTTTTTTTTTTTAATTAAGTGTCGACGAGAGGAGTATAGCCACCTGCCTCCGCGTGACTAAAGGCGAGGAAATTGATATACAATTTAAGTGATAATTGACAGATAACCGATATCAATATTACATATATATATGTATGAATGCATGTATGTATGTAGGTACGTAGGGGGGTGGGGATGCCGAATCGCAGCGAAGAAGGCATAACAATTTCTTGTCGTATACTTTTAGACAAGAAATCTTCTATTATCTCTTTTCTCTTAAATTTCTTTCATTGGAATAACTGATAATTTCTATTTAACAGTGCCAACGACGGGTCGCACCCGTCACCCCCTCACATTGATTGTAAGAATTTCTCGCAAGTATACTTCTTCATATATATTTTTGGATAAATTCTATTTCGTAACACGTGTGCAAGAGTGTCGGTGTGTGTGTGTGTGTGTGTGTGTGTGTGTGTGTGTGTGTGTGTGTGTCTTTGTTTGAAATATGTACGTGCGATTTTAACGCCACGCCCCTCGCCCGACCATTCATTGCTCTACAAACAATTTTTAATATATTCAAACGCTTCGACAAGTGAGGCGGCATCGTTTCTTAAGAATTGTTCAATTACCTAAAGGATTCCCTTTTTTTTATTTTCTATTTTCTTCATTAATATCGAATAACGAACTCTCACTGTACTGTATCCCAAAAAAGATGCAGCTTTCCCTGGTAATCTTTATCCTTTTCCCTTTGCTGTCCTCGTTCCTCGCTTTTATCCCTCAATCATTTCTTTACAACAGCTAAGAGTGACACTTTTTCGCAAATATAACCTAGAGAATACAGGGTGGCCGATTCTTTATATGTATAATATTTCCTAAGGTTCAACTATCCATTTGCATTCGGGTAGCCGCAAAAGGGAAGTTGTGTTCTCTCTATTGGCGAATGCGGCGCGAACGATTCCCACAAGATTTCTTCAATTCTTCATTCCTTTATATTCTTTCTTTTTCTTCGAGACTTCGGTATGCATACGCGTGCATACATGCCCATGTGTAACGGCGCGACTTAAAATACGAAGGGATTCGCACTCCTTGCGGGATTCTTATAAAGTTTTTAGATATACATATCAAATTCTATATACATATACATATTTTATAATGAATTTATATAAGATATATGTATACGTATATACGTATGTATGTAATAGTCGATAGTTACAAAACTAACTAAACTTACGAGATACGATGAGCAATAATTTCAGCTATTTACAACAAATTATCGTACAGACGTATTTTCTTATATTATACTGTCCGTGCGATGCAAATGTAATATTTCGCTCGTTTACCTTCTTCTTTTTTCTTTCTTTCCTATGTATTGCAGATATTGTTTGCCGTTAGAAAAAACGTGCCACATCCCTGCATGCCTATCTCTAACGTGTTCGCACTTTGGCCCTTTCTTTTCACAATGCTGTGTAATTGGCCAAATTCAATTCAGTCGATGCATGCTCGCATCTCGCCACAGTTTAATCATCTTAATAATTGATTAGCGACCCTGTTTCGTTAAAGTTATCAAGATTGATCCGGCCGATCAACTAATCCAATTAATTATAAGAAACAAAAGGACGAACGCAATTTTGGCTAAACATAATGGTGAAAATCTGTTGGCGATGGTATGTATACGTTATTGTTTGGTGATGATGTCGTGAGCGAAGAATTGGCCGATGGAATAATTACAAGGGTACAATTTTATAAGCACTTGCGACAAAAAATATATACTAATAATCATTAAGAGTTTAAAGCTTGGGACCAACTGATTGTGCAGCCCTGCGCGTTCCGGCGCGATCCTGGCCATAATTGACCGACGGCAGGTCGAACTACTTTGCGCGGTAGGTGGTAGTAGCTGATTGGTTACCAATAGCAAACCGTGTGATATATTTTCAATTCCACCAATTACGATATTGCTGAGAACGTATAAAAAAAAAAGAAAGAAAAACATTTCAAAGAAAAGCCAAATGAACCCGAAAAATCTCATCCGATATCTCATTATATGTATGTATGTGTGAGTGTTGCATTCAATTTGTTATTTTTGCCGTACATTCAGACTTGTATTTACCAAACGTTTGTTTCACTGCTATAAATTTCTTTTTAAATATTTTAGTTCTTCCTTTCTTCTTCTTAGAATGGCACAAGTACCCGATGCGGCGATCTTTTTCTTATATCTTTCTCTTTACACTTACTCCCGGTAATTCTCTTTTATACACGTATTTATAATAGTACTGGTAGCAGTAGCAGTAGCAATAGTACGGTAGTGGTAGTGGCAATAGTAGTAGTAGTAGTAGTAGTAGTAGTAATATAGTAGTAGTAAGTAGTGATAGTAGCAGTAATAGTAGTAATAGTAGGAGTGTGGTGGCATAGTAGTAGTAGTAGTAGTAGTAGTAGTAGTAATAGTAATAGTATGATAGTGTGTAATCGTCCATATTTACAGGAAGCTCGTTCACAATGCTAATTACCTCTGAACGCGCTTATTTCGATAAAGTTTCATTTTAGTGCCATCAAGTAATAGTAATAGTATGATAGTGAATATAGTAGTAGTAAGTAGTGATAGTAGCAGTAATAGTAGTAATAGTAGGAGTGTGGTGGCATAGTAGTAGTAGTAGTAGTAGTAGTAGTAGTAATAGTAATAGTATGATAGTGTGTAATCGTCCATATTTACAGGAAGCTCGTTCACAATGCTAATTACCTCTGAACGCGCTTATTTCGATAAAGTTTCATTTTAGTGCCATCAAACTATAGGCTCTATGTTCATATTGACAACAGGTGTATAATATACCTAATCATTTAGCTACCTATCGTACAGTAATGGTCTGAACTTAAGGCTCACACGCAAATTTTTCATATACACACATCCTTCGCAATCTATATAATACTTCCTCCTATATTTATTTTGCCATTGCAGTCTCGCGATCTCCACTTCAGGAATGGGTTTTACGACCGGAGCAAATGGTCAGATCAAAAAGACGCCCTTAGTGCAAGTTGGAATTCTATCACCGACAAAATTTTAACAAACATGGCACCTTTTCAATTCGACACTTTCCATTATCAACTAAACTAATGCTTACCGAGATCTAGAGTATGTCGAAGATTGTCAAATTCGGGTGGCTCGTTGGGTCTCCCATCTTATTTTTATTCTCTTTTCTTTAAGTATTGTTCCTCGATAGTTTATGATTTGCTTCTTCACCTGATAACATCAACCTTTTTTTCAAGTTTTCGCTCTTGCTACACAAAAACTGAGACTTCGATTATCCCTCTTGTATTCGTTCGCCACACGAACACTTTTCCTACTGTCGGTTTACCTTGTCTTAACTCGGCCTGCAGGTGCGAGGTTTCATAAAATCCGCAGGACTTTCGGGAATACTTTCGAAATTAAAATGTCTTCAAGATGACGATAGTATCTGTTTTTTTTTTCAGACGATGGTGAGTTCATAATCCTCATCAGTCCAGGATGCTCTGTAGGGAAGATCCCAAGTGACAGATTTTCTGTTGTGGAATCTTCTCATAGAGTTCCGGATATTGTCGTTCTGTTCCACATGGGATGATCTCGAAATTCCTTCGCCGGTCAAATCTTTCAGATCAGCCTGCCTGATGACTTTTCTTCTGGACAATAGTTTAATATTTTCAGAATCGAGTGGTTCATAATAATTACTTGTCCTTGCAGAATGAATGTCCGGTATACATTTAAGATTTTCCATAGATTCTAGAAATTCCCTTTCTTTCTGAATCCTGACAATTTCACGTAGGGACCTTCTGAACCGCCGAGGACAACTTGAAACATTTTTCGACATGTATTCGCTTGGCAAGGATGAAGTCCGTTTTTGAGGTGCTCTAAAAACTGAACGAGAAGTTTCATCTTCATACCTATTTTGACTGCGCCCTCCTGAACAATCCTCCAGAGCTTCGTCAAGACCAACGAGGACGTCGACTTTCTTATGACGACCTTCCACCAAATGTTTGTGATCTCTGCTAGCCTTATGTAGTTGTCGCAGAACGTGATCCACTTCCTGAACCACATCCAGAGATTCCTGCTGCTGTTGGTCACAGATCTTAAAACGACGTTCATGTCTTTGCATTTCTTTTTCTGGATAAGACTCTCGTTTCTTGACGTTTCGATACGCCACAGCCATTTGATCCTTGTTGAAATAGCCAGGATGAGTAGAAGACCTAGGACGCCATCTTCCGGTACTGACCCTTGAGTTATTTTGAATCGTGAGATGTGGACGAGTACTTTCCGGCTCCTCGGTAAGGTACAAAAGTCTCGTAGGCCGATTCTAGTTAGAGAAAGGCTCCCTGTCTCATACGTGCGTTGCCAGGGTGCCAACTGCAGAAGTGCGCTTTACTGTTGCCACACCGCCATTAGGACCACCCGTTATGTAGTGGGCCGATAATGGTGCCTAGGGAAAAAGCATAAGACATTGCAAAAATGGAATTCAAAGGCTATCTGCCTGATAGGAACATATTTGCATTATAATAAACTTACCTGGGGACCGGCACCGTTTAATGTATTCAAGTTGTTCATTCTCATTGCCTGGGTGTACGGCGGCGGTGCTGGCGTCACACCCGGTATCGCTGTGTGAGGGGCGTGTCTCAGCTGTTCAGCGGCAGACATTCTGTAATTTTAAAATTGCCAGGAGTCAAGTTTTAAAATATGTTATTTATGATGCCTCGCTGGCACATGGGGCAGGCACGACACATAATGCGATAAGACAGGAGATGATCGGTGGCTCCTTGAGCCACACTCTCATAAATATACATGTCGCGCGTCGTGTTCAACACCTTCTGGCTCTCGTTTTTGTTATCATCATTACCTTAGGTAGGGATTGCCATAAGTGGCCGAGAAACGCGGATCGATCACTGGCGTTGTCTGGGGCGTCGATGTTCCCAGATTAGCCGAACTCATGCCGATCTTCTTAGACGCCAGGATTCCACTTGATGGAATCCTGCTAAGAGACTCCCTCGATGTGCCCATACCCTGTGTCGTCGGCGGCATGTAGTCCCTCGCGTAATCCACATAAGGTACATAGCCATTGTTGTTACTTCCATCCTACAAAAAAATACATGTATAAGTCAGTAAAACAGTTATGGATTCCGTAGGTCTTAAGGGAATTTTGAAGACACGGGTATTCTTGAGCGAGTAGATATGTACAGAAAGTACTGAAAGTACTGAAAGTACTGAAAGTAAAAAGATGATGAAGACGAAAAGGGAGAAGAGGAGAGGACGACCACGATAATAATAAAATATCTAAATATTACCAACGGTATATGGGGAAGCCTACGGAGGTCCATTTAACTCACGTTATTTTTCGGTGGAAAGGACGGCTCTGTATAGTCTGCGCTGTAACGGTATCCCAGTGGATTTGGCACAGGGCCCGCAAGTGCAAGAGCATTAACACCCCTGGTGCTTCCTTCGCCCTCGCTGTCCAGGGCCGTCACGCTTTCCGCATTGCTGACACTGGAGCCCGCACGGATATCAGCCTTAACGTCCGATAAATTGCTGCTCCTATCGCTCTCGCGATACCGATCTCCATTGGAGTCTGTTTCCTCTGCAAGTAGTAAGATAGATAAATAACAAATATTACGAAAATGACCTACTCGCGCGCATTGATTCTTAATTAGAATGTTTGCGTTAAGTAACTTACGCATCTCGTTCTCGTGCGAGGGGGCCGATCTCGCTCTTGGCTGCTTAATCCGGTCGCGACAGTGAAGTATGAGAATGACTATAACTCCAATCAGTATCACGCAGACGACCAGACCCACGATGATAAGAATAAGTTGCCAATCGACTGGAATCAATGCTAAACGTCACGGCTGGTTAAGTATCGTTGTTTCTCAATGGAAGATGGTCAGTATAGTATGGTGCTATTCGCTATCTTATATGAGTAGTTATACCCTGCCTTGAGTATAGTATCGCACCGCTACAGTGGTACACATCACTGTAGACGCAGCAACGGGTTCTTAGACTTCGAGTAGGTGCAGTTACTACCTTTTTGGTCAAGTGGATTCGTTTTATTGGCATCGGATAGAACCAGTCGGGAAATCTTGGAGAAGCGTGCAGTGGGGAATGGAAGTGGGATAAAAGGAGGAAGCAAGGATAGTCCTCGTTCGAGTGGGACTCCAGACGGAATGTGCCTCAGAGGAGCGTCTTCAGGGAGTAATCACGCCACGCACGACTGGACGGATTTGGTACTCGTTTTCTTGGCCGCATCGGATATTAACTACGTGACGCAGTTTGTTTTCTCATTCGCGCGAGATCAATGAGAAGAGGTAGAAATGGCAGTTCTATAGTTGTTGCTTTACGTATAGGGTGCTACAGCTGAAATATATGAGACGGCCTTAAGCAAGAGTCCAGTCAAAATTATTATTGGATTATCGCGATAGCAATCCCCTCCCCAATAAAAGTTGAAAATATGTCTAGCACGTATCCAGATTACATGTGGCTCATAGGATCTAGAAATACATATATGGTCATGTACGTACAAGGGAGGCATGGATCACAGGTAAAAGCATTGGAGACTCAGGCAGGGGATATCTACGCAGATAGCTTAGGATGCGCATGGATGGTCGTAGGGTGTAGGTAAAAGTCGACGCAGAAGTAAAAAGGGAATCGCAAATTTTTTTAATACATAATTTTATCAGGGACTATTCCACAAAATGCATCCGTGTAGACGCTTATGCTTCAAGGGTTTTGACTCTTACGTGAAAGCTCCTACCGATCGTCGAGTTAACTAGACTTGCCAAAGCATCCCTAGCCTCTCGATCTCGTTACTCTAACTTTCTATTGATTTTTCATACTAACTCGTTTGCCAGCTTTCACCCCTCTTACACATCCCAGGTGGATTCCGCTGTCTATACGTCGTTAACCGATTAATCTTTTCACGAGTAAAAAATATATCCTAACTGATTATGATGTGTATGTAGCGCGTTTTTGATATTTTGTATTTCGACTCACCATGCGTTGTCAGCTTGATAACCACTGAGTCCGTACCAAAGCTGTTAGTGACTGTGCAATTGTAATCACCGAAGTACGTGGACACAGGCTCCAGGAGGGTGACGGTACTGACTACACCCTCGGGGTTGTATTCCTCCTGCACGTAGAAGGGTGTATTGTTTGTCGAGAAATTGAGCTCTCGCCCGGCGAAACTCCAGACCACGGATTCGGCTTTCGGCACGGATATTGCTGTGCACTCCACCTGCAAGTTGAGTGTCAACCATGGGAAGAAGATCAAGGAAAAAGAAAAACTGTAGACATTAAAACGATCAAGTATCGTTTAACCAATGTTCCGGATTCCCGAAGTACTAAAGTTATCCGCCCTTTGGCAGGATGTGACAAGAAATCGCAGTTTACTGTGCGGCGCCCATTAAGACTCCGGCAAAGTAATGGCAGCAACCGCCTCGAATGCAGAGCCAGAAAGAAAGCAAAGTATCTTGAGATGGAAGCAATCCCGTAAGGCAATAACAGTGAATCCGAAGTCGTGTGCGCTCTAATACAGAATATCGCTGAGAATAAATCTTCGACAGTTATAACTGTTATGAGGAACAACTTTAAGGGGTTAACTTTTAAAGTTCGAAGTAACTCAGGAAACTAGTTTGTAAATCTATATCTGTATTTCCATTTAATGCGTTTAACAGAATCTTGGCATAGCAACAGCCCCCAGGAAACAAGCATAAATGAAAAGCGTGTAGAAAAACAGTATATCTCTAAATTTATTTTGTCATTCCTTTCCCTATGCGTGGGTAGTTGGGTATTATCATTATGTAGGTACGTTGCTCTCTGTCTGGCATTGCAGTTGTTCTTAGCAGAAACCCGCATCCTGGATAGACTACAGTGCAGTGCGAGACAATAACCCAGAGTTACTGTTACTGTTACTGTTGATATACTTTACAGTGTGGCGCGACTAGTAGGTAACTGTTAACTAAGGATGATCCCAAATGGGTCGTAAATAGCTATCGTAATGACGCACGTGGTAGTATCGATATTTACCTTGACGACTCCTTCGTCGGGTACATACTGAGTCCTCTGGGAAACGATACTCGGCGCCGCACGGATGTAGATGTTCGCGTATCCGGTCAATTCCGGAAATCCAGGCACGCTGGCCTTGCAATAGTAACGACCGGCCGTTTCCGGACTGACGAGGACACTTATATTCGGACTGGTCGCTACCATCCTGCCCGACTCCTCGTGGATCCAGAAGATCTCTGGCGTCGGGTTGCCATCGGCGTCGCACTGTAGAATCTCCGTTGCGCCGTAGTGCGTCTCCACGGAGACTGGCGGATGGCGAAATTGCGGTCCGTCTTTGAATAATGGAAAAGATCAATAAAAATTAAAAAGTTCCTTATTAGGAAAAAATCGTATGTCAAAGAGAAATACTACATTTTTCTAAATAACGATGTCCCTTAATACTGAAATTCATTATAACAATGAAGATTAGTAATCCTTCATTTATTCATTCAAGAGGGAAAAAATATATCTACGAATACTGAACTGTGCCTGTCTTTACGCAATGTGGAGTAAAGGGATATTATAATGGAATGGATGCTTTCTACTTAAGTAGAGCATTACTTACAGGTGATATCCAGGGTTTCCGTTTCTTCGCTCTTCCCGACGTCATTGTGCACCTCGCACTTCACAATGGCGTCGTGAAGTTCCCGGGTTGCGTTGTGAATAATCATTTCTGTGGTATAGTCGCCAATCACCTTCTTCTCATTGATGTACCACCTTCAAGAAATAGGAATTTTGCAATTTTCAAATATTTCGGCACATTCCGATCCGTTCGAGTGTTAAGTGTGTATTTGCTTTAAGGAAAAGAGAGCAAAACCTCAAATAATGAAAATAAGGAAAATTCGCTTTCGACGGAAGCGACAGGCACGCTTTGCCAGTGTAAACATCAGGCTCCGATGCAATTGGAAGGTCAAATAAAGCAAGTGAGGTTCTTCCAGTGCCACCGACAAACAAGAAGACAAGAAGACATCGACAGCATCCTCGAGCGAATCACGAGGTTCTTCGTCTTTTATGCGATATTCTGAATTTGAGGGCGAATTGCGTCGCAAGAGAGAGAACGAACGATGCGGATGCGGCTAGCGGCTCGAAACACACGTGGTTAATAGATTTACGGTGAAAAATAATGCTGAAGGGTAGAAAGAAAAACGAGCAGGGTCCTCAAAGAGACTTTAACGTGCATTAGTGGAAATTCATTATCCCCCAAAGAACCGGAAATGTCCACGCTTTCCGTTTTGAATCATATCGACGTGGCCTTTTCACGAGAGCTCGACCTCACGTGGTTCCCCTTTTGAGCTCATTTTACTTTCGTCCTTTTATCCCTTTTGTTTCTTCCATCCACGCAGGAATGAATCGATTTTCCCTTCGCCGGGCTAAACGTCAGTTCGCGTGTTTCGCGTCGCAACGCCCGAAACTCTCAGGGCGTCTTACTTTGATCGTATCATTGCTATTTAGTCTGGTTGCGTGTCTCGCGCGCACACATGAACCACACGAACCACATGAACGCATAGTTCGCGCTCGCTCTCTCTCTCTCTCTTTTTCTCTTTCTCACTCTCTCTCGCACCTGTATTCCATATCGGGTGGATTAGCTTCCGCGCGGCATTTGAATCGCAATTCTGCGCCTTCTACGATTCTTCCATTTTTTGAAAATCCTGAGCGAATTTTCAATGAAACTTTTGGAGCGTAACGGACCTGTAACACAGAAAGGAAATGAAAAAAGAAGTGTGATTGTTTAACGACAAAGAGGAAAAAGAGTCGCGTTAGTACAGAGTATTTTGAAAATTCCGCAACACAAAAATTGTGTAATGCCATGGTGGGGTTTTAAGTGATTGGGTTAGGTTAGGATAGTACGGAACTCCAATGCTACGATGGGTGAAGATAACTTAGAGTTCAAGTGCTGTGACCTGTGAATATTTCAAAGCCAATTGGGTTGGTCCAGGAGGGTTGGCCACTAAGAGAAAGTCTAATGTAAAAAGTGTTTTCATTTTTTTTTTTTTTTTTTTTTTCAATTCATCGATACTGAAAAATGAACTTGGTCAAGTCCAGGTTCTAGAGCCATTGACATGCCTGAGCAGTAGGTGTGATTCTGTTTGGCACGGATGTCCTATTAAAGCTGCAGAAAAGCACCGCGGACGGAGAAACGTCTCGGAGTGTAAAACGGAAGACGGAAAAGTAGGAAACGAGGAAGCGCAGCACGGCAAAGTGGCCAATGGGTGGTGGTAGAGGGTCCATGAACTTTGCAAATTATATATTTGCACACGCGCGCCGACTGCGGGTTGGGTTAATGTAAAATTAGTAGCTCTGCTTTCTCGCGGCTTGATTGGATGTAGATTGGCATGAATGGCTGGTTAGATCGCGAGAAAGCAAACTAGCTGTATCCTGCGTCGTGATAATTGATGTTAATCAGTAATCGTACACTAGCGACATTAACGACACGCGCTCTCTATCAGACTCTTTTGAACGAGAGTGCTCGAGATGGATTTAAGCGAGTCAGTATTTTAAAAGACAATCCCTTTATCGTACCGTGGTGCATAGCAGAGCACGTCACGTGGTAGAGTAAAGTACTAGAAATTGCTGTTCAATGAACTCTAACTTTATGGGCGCTCGATTGATGTAATCCGAAGTCAGATGAGCTAACTGTTTGCATGAGAAATGAATAGGTTAATAATTATTTAGCAGGGCGTGCGTATCTTACCTCCACTCGCAATTTGACATTTTGCGGTGTGCGATCGGCCGCGTTCTGACTCTGACACGTGAAGGTCGTGTTGTCATGTTCCTTGCGGGGCATTACCGTCAGAACCGACTTGACGGTGATCAATGGACCACCGTCGAACTTCTCGGTGGTCGTCTTGATTCCTTTGTGAAGGACATTGCCAAGTCCATCGATCCAGGTGATCTGAAAATCAAAAGAAAGATCCTTTTTATTGGCCACTTTTCAAATTCCATTTTATTTAAGAAGGTCATTAGCATCTTTTGCGCACTTCGAGCTCTGGAATATATTCCGAAAAATGTGCAAAATAAAAATAAAAAAATGGAACTGCATCGCAAAGAGTTTAGGGTTCTAAGGTCAATCGGCACTCCGACTACTCAGGACGATCCGATGGATTCATTTGAGAGATGATTGAGCGTCCACGAATCACGTCGTAGTGGCGACGCTCCGTTTAACGAATGCATAGGTCATTGCTCGAAATTGGTCGCAGCGATGCTACGGTTAAGAAAGCGTCACGTCAGCAGGAATTGATCCCGCGTGACACGAGCGACGTCTCTAGCGGCCCAACAAGTTCGTAGCGTTGGCGCGCAGCTTCGCGAGTGCAAGATCTCTCGATGGTCGGGACGATCAGGGACGATCAGGGACGATCAGAGACGCAGCCGGTTTTCAGTAGAGCGAGCTCATAAATATTTAATCTTCAACGGCATTAAAAAGGATCCTGCTCCGATTGCCTGAGGTATTCCTGCGAATTGATCCTTGACTTTGAAAGTTCCACCAGAGAAATACGTACAGCTGCCTCCATAAATTATTACCTTATAGCTCGCGCAGTTTCCTCGGAACTATGGTCGTTATAGCTACTGACATACATAACCGATACGGAACTATCGGGCTATACGTTATCAAGTTAAGGATCCCATGACAATGATAAAATCGAGGGACAAGTGCCGTGATGTAATCGATGGGAGGGCAGAGGTCGGGGCTTCGGGGCGTCGGGGCGTCGGGACGTCGGCAGGGCGTCTCGCTCGGGCAAACGCGCGCTGTGGCGCAGCCACAGACCGACATTCGGCTGGGCTCCTGCGTGGATGCGACCGAGCTGTCCGAGTCTCAGGAGCTGAGAAAATCCAAGGTCGACTCAATGGCATGATTCGGAGCAACGTGCATCGATTCGAGAATTCAGGGTGCATCCCGAGCGCACCGTTTGCGATGCAGGCTTCCCATTCTCCTGAGCAAACGGAAGTCCTGAATCCCGCGGGAAATTATTAGCCGCGAACCCATTCCGTCGCCAGTTGGGAACGCTCCCTGAGACTGGACGCTCCTAATCCGATTACCGGGATCGCGTGTACCCTGGTACCCTCCTACTCCTGCATTAGACGCTCCTCGTAATCAACGAGGTTCATCCTGCCTAGTCTTGCCTTGTCTTGTCTTGTCTTCGTCTCTGCGCCGCACTGTGCAGTTGTGGTACACTTGCACGTGCTGAATCCCTCCCCTCTCCTCTGCCTCTGACGTTATCCAGGAATCCCGGCTGGATATTTATGAGATCTTCACTCAGCATCGAAACATCATCCCCTCGCATTAGTCAGCTGTCAGCTGTCGGCTGTCGGCTGTGTCCTTGCAGATTGCAACTTGTCGAGCAGTCGGAACTCGGCTGAGTTGATTAGCAATGCACTTTTACGAAATCTCGTATTTTAGTAAGATCTCGTTGACTCTTCGTCTCTAGCCAATTCGATTGTTCTCTTCTTATTGGAAAGTATTTGGAAAATTCGCATTTGGCTTTACGCAAGTAAATTTATTGCTATTCGAACGGTGCGAGGAGCGCAGCTCGGTAGGGCAACAGCTTACGATCAGAATCTCCAGTGAAAGGCAACTTATAATTAGAGTATTCAACGGTAGATTGACTGAGCGACAGTCTTTGATTATCAATTAGCCGTGGCGCGGCGTCACTTTTGTCCAGCAGTTTCAGCCCGCTTCGCCATCGGTTTATCTCGTGAGATCCCGTGGGATAAAACGGCAAGAATCCCCTGGGTGAATTTACGATGTAAATTCTCCCTCTCGAAGGAAGTAACTATATTCATCTCAAGACTTTGTGACCTAGCGACCTCCGGTTCAACGGGAATCTTAAGATAGGAGCCCTCGATGACCTTTTACGTTTATGGAGTGACCTTGACCCTGACCGTAGATTGACAGTAAATTGGTAATCGAACTCTCTGGATGATATGGGCACGAACGTTAATTGAGTAGGACAGTCCCACCCTTGTAATTTCCTCAATCCCACATCCCTTAGACTCCCTCTAACCGAGTCATCCATCCAAGTAGCTGCTTTCTCAATCGTACGACTTTCTCCATTCTTTTCTCTCCCTCTAAAACTTGCCTTGCGCGGCCATTCGTCTCTCGTACGCCGTGTAAGGGTCGCTACCTCAGTTAGGTTGAACCGAGTGACCTGCCGAATGTAGCCGAAGGTTCCCGAGAAAAAAGCGGGATTATCGCAAATGGGTTTGCTGAATTGACTTTCAGGGTGAAAGTTATTGCTGGAGTGATTTTCTGACGTCCACTTGAATGTCTTTGGATCTCGAATGAAGGGCAGCGTTTAACAGTCAGAACCGAAGCGTCTGGCAGGAAAGATGCTTTGAATTTTGGAGGGTGTGCTACCCCTGTACTACATTTAAGCCAGGAGAAAGGCAAAGGAGGACACATCCGTCGTGCTTAGCAAAATTCACTAATATTTTACGACACCCTGGACTCATTCGTCTGATTTAATAAAGCAAAACATTTTTGTCTGGTTTTCTGTAACACTATAAAACCTTTCAAAAATCCTTGTGCTCAGTTTTGTTAGTCATCCCTCTGAGAAGTTCCTGTTCACTAAGTGAATACCATATGTGAAGTTCATATATTGAGAGTGCGCGTGTGCACCAGAGAATCGAAGATGATATAGGTCATGCAAGATGCGAGGGGGTCAAAAGAGGTGAAAGGTCAGAAGTTCTTTCCAATGAAAGGATGACATTAGAAAGCGTAGAATTTCGGACAAGGGTTAATTTTAATTCTCGAGGAATATTCCGCGAGGGATGCAACGAAAGAGAGTCTAAAAGTCGTGGAGACGGGCAAGCACGTAACCGAGCAAACGAATGTTAGCCAGCAGGCCTCTTATGCACTTGCGGCGCATATTCATGATGCGTCCGAATGTAACCAAATGAAATCCAACCTGTTTCTGGAAAGCGTTTCACTTTACCAGACCGTGTCTGCCATCCACATACAGCCCACTTGGATTCGCATAGTATCGGATGTTGACTATCAAGGCGTCAAGTTGGATCGCATATCAAAATGACTTCTGGCAGCTTCACTCTTATGCCAACATTTTAGTGCATGGAAAGTAAAATGCAAAGTGGAATCGCGCAGTTACTTTTTGCCGCAGCTAATTATTTCCGACTTTACGCGTCCTGACGTTCTGCGTCTACAGTGTGTGCGCGTGTGCGAGTGTGTTGCTACGTAGCTACGCAATTGCAGTTTTCCTTAATGAACATCGGGGTAGTGCAGCAGCGCAGCCAGTGAGATTTTAATTTCTAGTTTCTAATTTCCAGCTTGTAGATTCTACTACGTCCCGCGCTGCCTCGCGCTGCCTCGCGCTGCCTCGTACGGCTCAACTATGGCGCAAGACTGACTACCTGTATATCTACTCTACCTAGTCCTTGAAGCGCAGTACGTATGTACGTCTGCTTGTTGGTTTAAACGTTAGGTAAACCCAAGTATGTAGTTTGCGCCTCTGCGATACTTGGAATGCTTTCAAAAAGTTAAGTGTCTTATCTTTCTTTGCTGTTACCCTTTTAGTATCTTTTTTATATTTAAAATGCTCCACGAAAGCTCCTGGCGACTATTTCGACTTACTCGCAATATTTGTTTCTTAGCACATTTGGAATATAGATTGATAGGTCTATCGGCATGTATATACTATATCTATAGAGTTCCGATCGGTGAAAACGATCCAATAAAGAAATTCCCAAGCGAGAAATCGCTCGACGCAGCAATCTGTCGTCGTACGATAGAAACGCAGCATAGCATTTTTATACTTTTCTCAATGAACATATTGAAATGGGATCAACTGAATGTTGCACAAGGGCAGTAGGATGGTAATATTAAAATTCTACCTTGAGGATTCTGCCTCCCGATGCAAATGGTTAAGAAGCGAGGGGTTGCACATCTATGGATGCAGAATGAGCACATGGATAGGTTACGTGTGCGACATATATTTATGGATACAACAGCGTGAATACGGAACACGTGCTGGGAGTCTCAGGAAGGTTGCACGGCAAGTATAGAGGAAAAGAGAGAGAGAGACGAAGAAGAGACAGGGAAAGAGGGAGAAGAAGTAATAGAGGTTTGCATGCATACATGTGTCACACGTGCATGTGGATGAACGGTGGAAACTGTGGGAATATTTTTTTTAAGGCAAGTTCAGTTGAAATATATTAAGTCGATCACGACTTCGCGTATCCTTCGGCTCTGGCGATTTAAAGTCCAACCCTGTTATTTCGAGTCCTTTGCTTGAACATTTAAAGCAGTGAGCGCCTTTCCGATCCTATCTGGTCCTGAGTTGGGCGCCCAAAGGAATTCGGATTTCAATGAAAAGTGCGTGTAAATGCAAAATGGCTGGTGAATCTAGGATCGGATAGAGTTAACAGAAAGGAAAAAATAGAGAAGCATCCACGAGAAAGTGTAGCCAACTATAGAAAGTTTAAATTGCACCCCGCACATGGGGCGGGGGATTCAAGTAGAAAAATCCTTCTCTATCGTTCGATGAGCCGAACCGTTTGTAAACAAAGGAAAGGAAAGTTACTACAGGCGTGAAGTTGGCAGTTGTTCTTTCTCAAAAAAGAGAAGGAAAAGACACGCAATATCTCTCTCATTTAATAAAAATGGCTGCGGCACGCCGAAGAATTGAAAGTAAAAGGAAAAGTAGAGAGAGGACTAACGTCCATTTCATCCCCCGGTTGGCTGGCGAGTCGCGGTTTTGTGTGCCGATTCAATTATGCGCAATTTACATGGCCGCTTTTTAGCGCCACATTTAAAAGGACCATGGAAATGGCACCGACTGGGAGTCCACCAAGTCGGAGGGACCGGAGGATGTCGGAGCGTCCGGCCAGAGGGTATAGGTCAGGTCATTGACAGTGCCGGTAGTAGTAGTAGTAGTAGTAGTA